TAGGCCCCTATATATATATATATATATATATATATATATATATATATATATATAAACGTATATATGTGTGTTTTTTTTTCTTTTTTGGATTTTAAGATAAGAATAGAAAAGAAAGTTAGTGAGATATTTTGGTCCTTGGTTTCGAAGAAAAAGAAGAAGAAGACATAGTTTACGTATTCGGTATTCAAATTTGTTGCCAGATAAATAGTTATTGTCTTATTGTGATCAAGGTGAGTTTTTAGTTTCAAATGATTAATCTGAAATGTTTTCGATAAGAAACTTGTTGGGTTCCGAATTTGAGTGTTTTCGGATATAACTATTTGCTAATTGTTAGCATAATTGGGTTTTTGATATTGTATTATCAATTGTGGGAATGATATTGGTTTATTGAAAAATCGACAGGAGAGGTGTAAAATGGGATGAGAGTTGCATAATCAGGAGAAGTGTAAAATGGAATTAGGGTAGCATAATCAGGTTAGGTGTAAAATGGGATAAAAGGGGCATAATCTGAAAAGGTGTATTTGGAATAAGGGTGTTATACTCAATGGTTTTGTTTAATGATGAAATTTGGTCACATGAGTTTGTCGTTATCGTATTAGTGTGATACGACAAGTTGGGGTTATTGCATCAATGTGATGTAATGAGTTAAGTAATCGCATCAGATGGTGCAATGAGGTGGATTATTGCATCAGAGTGGTGCGACAAGTTGGTGTTATCGCATCCTCTTGATACAACAAGTTTGGTTGTCACACTTGTCTTGTGCGACAAGTTGATGCTCGGTGCGATAAGTTGAGTTGTCGTACCCTTGTGGTGCGCTAAACATGAAATAATCACACATTTTGATATGCGATAACTATTGTTCCTATATTGACTTTCCAAAATTCTTTTGGTGGTTTTCACCACATAAAGTTATCAGAGAATTACTCACTAGACCTTATGGTCTAATACTCATTTTGTTTTAAAAATATGCATTTTAGGACAAGTACATCCGGAAGGTAAAGGAAAGGGAAGATGTGATTGGAAATCTCATAATTTTTGCATCTGGTTATATGCTAAACTTGGGTTTTGTGGAAGCTGTTTATTACATAACCCTATGAACCAGTTATATTCAAGTCATATAAACTGAGTAAAAAATTTGTAGTAACTTTTATAAGTAACATTATGTATATTTAGGACCAATATGTATTATTCTAAAGTTCATATTATATATGGACATTGCATCTAGGGCTATAAACTAACCGAACGTTCAGCGAACCGTTCGGCGGGAAGTTCGTTTATGTTCGTTTATTTAATAAATGAACGAACATGAACAATTTTTTTTGTTCGTTTAGTTAAAAGAACGAATATGAACAAGAGTCTTGTTTGTTCATTTATGTTCGTGAACGTTCGTTTGTTTACCGTTCGTTTACGTTTGTTCGTTTAGCATGTTAACGAACGAACATAAACGAACACGAACACACCTGATTTCTAAACAAACGAACACAAAGATTTCCGTTTGTTTACCATTCGTGTTCGTTCGTTTGTTTGGTTAAGTTAAACGAACGAACATGAACAAGCCTCCATTCGTGTTCGTTTACAGCCCTAATTACATCTTATAAACGTTTACTTGATTAACATTAATTACTATGGTTATTAATTGCTTAAACCAACTATGGTTTATTACTCTTAAAATTTTTATTTTATTAAAAGGAATTTTAACCTATCTATACTATATTATAAAGTATTTGACAAAAAATTTTAAAAAAACCATTTTTTATGCATGAAGTACTGTTTATTGATGCATATTACTTAAAATTCAAGATTAAAAGTAAATTATGCATAAGTACAACTTATTAAAACTCTATGTTTGAATTCGTGTAACTAACCACGGATAAACATAATCAAATAGAGAATAAACATCTTATTTT